TTTTTTTTTTTTTTACAAAAAAAAAAAAAATTTTTTAAAAACAAAAAAAAACTTTTGAAAAAAAAAAAAAAAAAAAAAAAAAAAAAAAAAATAATAATAATAAAATAAAATGTCCAGTCCAGGTTTTAACAACTGGAGCTGCTTAGATCTTAAATTACAGATAATGCAGTTCAGTCCAGATTCCTCACAAAAAAAAAACTAAGTAGACCTTTAATTTAGCAAAAATCCCCAAAAAACAAATAAAAAACAAAAACAGGGGTGTTCCCTCTGCAGTGATTACTCATCCAATAAACAATAAAAAACTTGCTTGGGGCGCAACTGAGATAACTATTTCACTTTGATTAATTATCAAAGTGATAATCACTTTGTCGCCCTGGGCGGTATGGCTCACCGCCCTGGGCCGACTCAGTCAAACTCCAGTTTTATCATCAATATTTTTAGATAAAACTAAAGATAGTTATTTTTTTTTTGTTTGTTTGTTTTGTTGTTGTCAAAATCACTTGTGGCAAAAATTAGCTTATCAAACGTAGCAAGTTCTTTGATAATCTCATCATCTCAACAATTTAGATTTCCATTAAAAATGCTATTTCTTAACAGAAACTTTTTTTTTTTCTCGCTGGACAAATGAGCTCTAATTAAAAGTCAAAGTTATTTGAAGGCTTAAACAGGGTTGAAGAAGATATGCAAAAAGCGTGTAGGGTGTTTCATGCCACGTCTGGAATGGTTAAAGTCCAAATCCACAGGATAAATCTGACTCACAAGTCTTTAAAATGAGTGAACCGCAGTTGGTCTGCTTTAGGAGGGAAAAGGCAGCCAGACAAGCAAATGCTCATCATTCCTGCTGCTTTTCTCTGCTGGGAATGTCGCAAATCAATCCAAGTCTGGTCAGCCTGACCACGATTTGACAACATGCTCTGAGATCTCGCAAGTCTTTCAAAACAGCGATCTTTACAGGAACGCTCCAACAGGGAAGACACAAAAGAGTCTCTCATTTTTATTCTATGAAAGGTTATGCAGTTGTGTTGTGCGATATGACAGAAATGTGTTGATCCTGTTCCACATGACAACCAGGAGATGACAAAAAGAAGAATAGATCGCATTCCTTCCTGCAGTAAATCCTTTTTTTCTTTCAGCTGAGCAATTTGTAAATCAGAAAGGTATTTACCGGGAAATACTTTCTTGAGGGTTGGCATTTAAAACTCTTAATTTGCTCTAAAGCACTGAACCAACAACCGCTGTGGAGCAGCCAGCAGCGGTTGACGTGTTTGCGTCAGAATCGAATGTCTGTTTCTGTAATCCTGTTAGGTGCTGGATAAATCACATTATCCTGGCCTACAAAAGAAGGCACTGCCATTGCACTTTGAACCAGTTTGTCACAAACACAAACCTTTATGTACTTTATAAGGAATTTATGTGATAAATCAGTGCAAAGCAGCACATAATGTAAGAAGGAAGGATAAGGACAAACTATTTTCATGAATAAATCAGAAAAGTCTAACATGCTTTTGTAGAGTCATCTTTCATTTACCAATTTCAGCTCTAAGTCTTTATTTGAAATATCTCAAACTTAGCCAGATTTCTGAACAGCCATTTTTAAGAAGTTGCACATATTCTCAATTGGACTTAGCTCTAGACTTTGACTATGCCATTCTAAACACATGAATGTGTTTTGATCCAACTCATTCCTTTGTAGCTCATTTTTAAGCTTGACGTGTTGAGGATGTTTTGAAAGTCCCCCCCACCATTTCATCACCGCTGGCAAGCATAAAATGTGCATGAACACTTTAGCAAAGCGGTGAACTGGATCAGCATGAATTATTGACGGTTAAACTGAGTCCAGTCCTGTGAGTGTTAACGCTGTCCTTTGTTTGTTGTTTCAGACCATGAGGGCGGACGATGTGATTTGCACCAGAGTCTACGAACGACAATGAACAACAGCACTTCTCACCTTTTTTTTTTTTTTTGCCCTTCCAGTTCCTCTCTCCTCTTCAACGCTCCCCCTTTCTGTGTGCTGGGAGACACCAATCTGAAGATTTATTCCAGTTAATCTGTTAGCTCCACCATATAATATTAATGTGGTAACTGTATTTAGCATGTCACATTTAAAATCTGAGCTTCTGTCTTCGTTTTCCTTGCGCGTTTTCTGACCTGACCAGCTCCATTTTGGGTGATGCATCGAGTCGCTAAATTGCAGCTCGTGCATTTGTTGTCTGTGCGTGTGTGTGTGCGCTTGTGTGTGTGTGTGTGTGTGTGATTGAGGGTTGTGCAGCAACAGCAGGCGAGATGTGAGACTATATTTGTAGATGTGTAAGCCAATCCATGAGCTCTTCCTTTATCAGGTCAGTTTTGACGTCTGTCCTCTCCTCTTTCTGGAGCCTTGCTCTCCTTCGCCCCATGTAATTTGCTTTTTGTATTCATTACTACACAACTTTTTACACTGTATCTCTTTTGTATGAAATAATAAGAAAACGACCCTTTCTAGGGGGAAAACATAAACCACCTTGACGTCAGTTCTTTGGCTCTCCTGTGCAGAAAAAAAAAAAAAAAAAAAAACTATTAAGGAGCAGTAAAGGCATTTAACAGTGCCCGAAGTTTTATGGTTTGTGAGTGTAGCTGCAGAATGTGTGCACATTAAATGGCTCCATCTTATTTTAGGCTTTCTCTCAGCTGTCTGCAACCAGAATAACTTGTCTGTCCCCGCCTTCTTCACATTCTCTGTCCATCTTCTCCCCCTCGTCTCTCTCATGTCTATACTTTTCGTGACTAGTTTTCCTGGATCTGCTCATCCTGCAGCTTTCCTTCACCCCCACAGCTGCAGTTCAGTAGTATTTGTCTTATTTCCATTTTGTTTGGCAGTTGGAAGTATATTGTTTGTTTTTTACGGTTCTTAATAAAGTTTAACAAGACATTTTTTTCAGTCAAAGCCATCCTTTGTTTCATTGTTTTGCTGCTACAGAGCCAGAAAATCTTTTACCGTTTTATTTGCCAAGGGGTTTTTTTTTTTTTTTTTTTGCTTCACTATTTTTTTTCTCCCACTAACCTATCATTTTAGGATAGATTTGTTATTAGATGTTGCTAATGTACTTAACTATGATCAATGGACTTTCAGACTTCAGAAGTTTTCCATAAACGATGAGCCAATGTGTTGACATAAATTTAAAAAATGTGTTTTTAGCAGCCAAAAAGAAATAGTCTGTCCCCATCTATCGTTTGATCTATAAAATGTAAACAGTGAAATAATTTTAATGCTAATTCTTTTTTAAAGACCTATAAAAACATTGGTCATCTGTACATTTTTTGGGCCAAAGTCTTTTTAATAAGAACCACAGAAGGAACCCAAAGAGTCACGAGGCTGTGGAACCGCAGGCTTAAGGCTGCAGGCTCCATAAAATACATCGAAAGAAGTGGTTGTAAAATGAAACTGTGTAAAAGTCTGAGTGTATTTGCAAGGTTTAGGCACCACAGTAACCAATGAATATCTAGAATCCACAAACACTTTAGACCCCCTCTAAAAAATCTAATAACTGCCTATTTTAATACCTCAAACTCAGAGCTATACCTTAATAAGCATAAGTAGGCACAATGGAAATCATCTTGGCACTGCCACAGAAACTAATACTCTTTTTTTGCTCTCTCCTGTGGACATACAGCCAATTAGCACAAAGGAAAATGAATGTTGCTCCTGAATTTGCTGCTTTGCAAACGCCAGCATGTCAAGTAACATTGCACCAAAGTATTTCAGCTTCCAAAGCTCAATATATATATATATATATATATATATATATATATATATATATATATATATATATATATATATATCTTTACACACCCCACACACA